CTTCATCACTGTGTGGACACCATTTTGAATCAAGTCGGGTAGATCAAAACATGACTTTGGCGTGACTTCACCTGTGGTGTTTTTTTAAAGGCATAGATTTGGCCACCTCTCAAGATACTGCCGTCGTCAGACTTGACACAAGGTTTTCCTCAGCTGGGGGAGGCAGTCTTAGTCCATTTTTGGAAACAATAAACCAAGATGGCAGACTGGAACATCACTTTGGCATGTCTGTTTTTTTCATAGGGTCATGTGCCTCCTGAGATATCGCCATCAAACTTGGCACAAGGGTTCTCAGGGTGGGGGTGGCAGTCTTCATCAACGTCTGGGTGCTTGGTGCCATTTTGAATCAAGATGGCAGAGCAAAATGTGCTTTCACCCAATTTATGGTGATGTGTCCATTTCAAAATCTCTATCTATCGATCTATCTTGGTTTGAAAAATTCCTGGACTGGCCCCGCTAGTTGGCGGGGAGGCAGTACACATACCCATAATCTTCTTAACAGCCCAGTGTGTTTGTTGACTTTGAACCATTTCTCTTTGCAGAAGGCAGAATCAGCCCCCTTAAGAAGCTGCCCGGGTCCTTTTAAGCTTTGCCTTTTCTCCAAGTTAAAAAGCCCCAAACATTGCAAACTTCCTTTCATAGGGCATTTGTTTGGGGTGTTTGCTTGGAAAATGCTGGGCATTCGAGTCTTCCTGTCTCTGTGGCACATGCCCAAACACCCGCTCCTGCCAAATCATCCTTACACTTAGTTTCTGTGACTTTGAGTGCCAGTTGAGCAGGACATAACCCCGTAGATCACATCCTTGGGGATCCTGTCACCTTCCGTTCTGCCAACATGGCCAAGCCGGCGTAGATGTCGCTGAGACAGGAGTGCAAACATGCTGGGACTGTAGACATGGGAGAGCACATCTTTGTTTGAGGCTCTGTCCTGCCGTGTGATGCCCAAAATCTTCCTGATGCAGCACATGTTGACACATCGCTGGTGGTGGTTGTACGTTGCCCACGACTCACTTCCATAAAGCAGCATGCTCAAAACGCAAGCCTGGTAGGTCTTGGTCTTGGCTGTCAGCATCACATTCTCCCAGACCTTTTTGTAGAGGCGAGAGCCGTTGCCGTTGTTGCCTTGCCAATAGTCCTGTCCAGCAAGGTCTCTGCTGACTTTCATTCCAAGGAAAGCAAACCCTGAGTAACCTCTGGAATTGCTCACTACTTGGAGATTCGGGTGGCCTGTGACATAACATAACTAGCAATATCTCTGTACTTTCTGTGTTTCCCTTCACAATCCACACACACACACACAGAGAGAGAGAGAGAGAGAGACAGAGAGAGAGAGAATGTGTGTACAGAGGAACCTCGGTTTTCAAACTTAATCCATTCCGGAAGACCGTTTGGCTTCCGAAAAGTTCAAAAACCGAGGATCAATGGGCTGGCTGCAAAGTCAATGGAGGGAAATGAAAAACACAGCTCAGAAGCCATTTGGCTTCTGAAAATCGTTCGAAAACTAAAGCAGTTACTTCCAGGTTTGGGGCATTTGGGAGCTGAGACATTCCAAAATAGAGGCGTTGGGGAACTGAGGATTGACTATAATATATCCTTGCAGCTCAGCTGCAAACGTACACTGTAGCTGATGAAAACCTATGAGAATACATGCATTAACAGTTAAGGTGCTGCAAAACTCAGAGCAGGGCCAGTAGAATTAAAGAGCATGACCCACTTTGGCCCATTCATTGCAATGGATCTATTTTGAGCAGAACCTCACGGGCAAGAACTTTTTGTGGGTTTTGCTGCAGCAGACTGACACAGCTATCCTGCCCTGCAATTAAATATACCCACTGTCCACTTTTCCAAAGCCAAACGGAATAAGCGCATCCGTTGCAAAGGGGGGGGGAAAGAGTTTTGCATTCAGTTTTGGGTGTTTTAGGTTTGTGGTTTTTTTAAAAAAAAAAGAAATTGATTTGATTGCCCTGTACACACACACACAGAGAGAGAGAGAGAGAGAGAGAGGGCGAGAGTTTCAGGAGATCCTTTCTAAGCCCCCTTTTCAAATCTGAAATGTTAGCAGGAGGAGGGAGTCATTGTAATGGGGTGCTGGCATCCCCTTCATCTCGGCAGGCTGCACCGCTGCTTTTTGGAAGCAGCTCACAGGGCCTGGACATCAAGCTGTGGAAGACTCTTCCTGAGCAACCAGTAGCATCTGGCTTATTGGCAAGCCGCAACAAGCAGCCGAGGACGGTGGCAGCGGTGGTGGATTTTGCCGTTGCTTCTGGGGCCGCCATGCAATTTGGACGCCGTGCTCTTCTCTGAACTGCTTTGGCTGGTGTTTTTGGTTTTTTTGTTTTTATATAAAAAAATAAAAAACAGTTCTTTTTGATGAACACACACATACACACCCCCGTGGCACAAAATCCGTCTTCTGCTCTCGCCGATTGCAGGCACCAAAACGGCCGTGTCTAGCCCAGATTCAGCAATCGGGTGACAAGTCTATTTCTCCCTCCTCTCTGTGTAGTGTTGCCACTTGTGTTATTGGCCCAGCTCCTGAGTCTTTTGAGGAGAGAAACGTATCAGGTAAAAATATATATTTTAAAAATTCTCTTGGAAAAGCTTTAGTTCAATGTTTCTCATTTTAAAAATAACAAAAACTTTTAAAAGAAAGGTTTTTGTGGGTATATTTGTGGTTTTCACTCTGATCTGGTGTGTTCTGCCTTGCTATGTTTCTATGAAAGGGTGGGTTATGCATTTGTAAACAAATAGGTTAAATAAATAGTTTGGTACTCGTGTGTGTGTGTGTGTGTCAGGATTACTGGTAAATGCTGTATTAAAATTAGAAAAATTGGGCCCTCTTTTGTTTCCCACACTCTCTTGAAATGTCCTCTGGATACACATGCAGGAATCACATTTCAGCAAAGGGGATAGTTTTTTCCTACACCAGCAGCCCTCCCTTTTCCAAATTTTAGGTGGGAGTTAGACATGTATAGGGACGCGGGTGGTGCTGTGGGTTAAACCACAGAGCCTAGGACTTGCTGATCAGAAGGTCGGCGGTTCGAATCCCCGCGACGGGGTGAGCTCCCGTTGCTCGGTCCCTGCTCCTGCCAACCTAGCAGTTCGAAAGCACGTAAAAATGCAAGTAGATAAATAGGTACCGCTCCGGCGGGAAGCTAAACAGCGTTTCTGTGCGCTGCTCTGGTTCGCCAGAAGCGGCTTAGTCATGCTGGCCACATGACCCGGAAGCTGAACGCCGGCTCCCTCGGCCAATAAAGCGAGATGAGAGTCGCAACCCAAGAGTCGGTCACGACTGGACCTAATGGTCAGGGGTCCCTTTACCTTTAGACATGTATGGGAATGAGGTATCAGAGTCATAGAATCATAGAACTGAAGGAATTTCAAGGGCCCCCTAGTCCAACTCCCTGAAATTCAAGAAAAGTCAATGTAGAAGAATGGGCTGTATCAGTTTATGATGCGGGGGGGGGGGGATATGTTTTTGGAATGCTTCCCCACCCCCCAAAATATATCCCTGCAAGTAGAATACTAGTGCATAAGTGATAAAGGTCCTAGCCCACCTCTTTGCCTTCTGTGCTTTTTCAGAGAGGGTTTTCCCCCCCATGCAGAAGGCCTTTCAAATAACTTCTAGAGTGTACGCAATCTCAGAGAACCCACCATAGGAAAGAGGCATCCTGGTCGCTAGGGAAGGGGAAACAGCAACTAGATTCCTACAACTAGAAAATAAGACAGAAGCAGGGAAATTGCACCTGGGGATTCCTACTGCCTGTTATCCAAAGAACTCACTCAGACTTTGTTCATTGGCTAAAAACACTGAATGGCCGTCTAATCTCTCAGAAATCACTTAGAAGGGTTCCTCCACATTTTGCTACATAACTTTCTTTCTGGGAGGGCTAGAGACTTGCTTTTTTAAAAAAAGAAAAAGAATGAAAGCTCAGAGTTTGGGGCCTCTGTTATTCATGGGCCCTGTATAACAGTACCCTCTTCACAATGGCCCTCATTCTGCATAAAGCTCTTTCGTATTGTTAAATTGCTTTTGGGTTTCTCATGTGAACCAATTCATAAACTACTATTGCTAATTATGATGATGAAGATGAATGATGACAAGCTGGAACATGTGCAAGGGAGGGCAATCAAGATTATCAAGGGTCTGGAAACCAAGCCTGATGAGGAACGGTTGAAGGAATTGGGCATGTTTAGCCTGGAAAAGAGGAAACTGAGAGGAGATATGAGAGCCATCTTCAAATATCTGAAGGGTTGCCACATGGAAGGGTGAACAAGCTTGTTTTCTCCTGCTCTGGACTTGAACCAATGGCTTCAAGTTACAAGAAAGGAGATTCCAACATCAGGAAGAACTTTCTGACAGCAGGAGCTGTTCAACAGTGGAACGGTCTCCCTTAGGAGATGGTGGACTCTCCTTCCTCGAAGATTTTTTAAGCAGAGGTTGGATGCTCCACCTTGTCCCTCATACCATTTAACACCAGCATGAAAGTGCCTGGGGAAGGGGGTCTGGACATTTTCCCTGTGTTCTAGGCACAGGGCCACTCTCTTGCTGAAGCTACGCAGATCGGGGCCTTGTCAGTGCTTGGATGGAGCCACACGTTCACCTCCTTGGGTTTCATAATGACTGGAAGGCATGATAGAAATGTAATAATAATAATAATAATAATTTTTATTTATACCATACCCTCCCCAGCCAAGGCCAGGCTCAGGGCGGCTAACAAGCAATAATAAAAACAAGTTGAATGAATACAACTTAAAAACAAGATTAAAATACAACATTAAAATATTGAGACATTAAAATAGAAAAGAAATAGACAAAACAACTTTTCCCATCTCCTCTCCATTTGATTCCAGGGACATCCTGAGGTGTTCTTGAACCATTTCCTGGGCACTTGATGTGGACTGAGGACTCTAAATCTTGATCCAAGATAGAATCATAGAATTGTAGGGGTAGAAGGGACCCCGAGGGTCATCTAGTCCAACCCCCTGCAATGCAGGAATCTTTCACGCAACGTGGGTCTCGAACCCACAACCTTGAGATTAAGGGCCTCGTGCTCTGCCAGCTGAGGTGGTTCTGGTCAGCAACAATGCTGGCCCAGAATTAGGTGCACAGCTTCGTGGAGCGGGTGTTCCCCTTTGAAGAATCCAGTTGAGAGTGGTTGTGGAATTATGGAACTCCCGGTTGTAATATCAGAAAAACCACAAAAGCCCAGAATGCCAGTGCCATTGGGTTAGGACTCTGGGACAGAGGTTTGGGGCCCCACTAAATGGAAGAAGCAGGAAAGGCCAGAAACACAGCAGAGCTGGCCTAACAGAACTGAAATAAAACAGATTGACATCGAAAGGTGTGGGGCTGCTATCAGGCCATTAAGTCCAGAGTCTCCCCAACATACATTTTAACCACATGGCTTCTTCCTCCAAAAGAATCCTGGGAAATTTTGCTAAGGGTGCTGGGGGTAATAATAATAATAATAATAATAATAATAATAATAATAGTAATAGTAATAATAATTTATTATTTGTTCCCCAGCCATTCTGGGCGGCTTCCAACAAAGATTAAAAATACATTAAAATGTCACACATTAAAAACTTCCCTGAACAGGGCTGCCTTCAGATGTCTTCTAAATGTCAGGTAGTTGTTTATCTCTTTGACATCTGATGGGAGGGCGTTCCACAGGGCAGGCGCCACCACCAAGAAGGCCCTCTGCCTGGTTCCCTGTAGCTTTGCTTCTCGCAGTGAGGGAACCGCCAGAAGGCCCTCGGCGCTGGACCTCAGCGTCCGGGCAGAACGATGGGGGTGGAGACGCTCCTTCAGGTATACTGGGCCGAGGCACTGGGTGAGGTGAACTACAATTCCCAGGGCTCTTTGAGGGAACCCATTGGCTTTAGATATTTATGTACTTATTTCCTGCATCTATATCCCACCTGCTTCTCCAAGAAAGAGCTCAAGTTGGCATACATGGGTCTCCCCCCACCCCGCTCCTCGTTTAATTTTCACAACAATCCTGTGAGGCAGGTTAAGTCAAGAGGCAGGGACCGAACCAAGGTTGTAGCCTCCCATGTCGTAGTCCGACACTCTAACCACTGCACTGGTCACACGTATGGATGTGAGCTCAAATTATCCGCCTGCCCTATTGAACCTGAGGCAAGATTTGCCGTATTTTTTGCTCTATAAGACTCACTTTTTCCCTCCTAAAAAGTAAGGGGAAATGTGTGTGCGTCTTATGGAGCGAATGCAGGCTGCGCAGCTATCCCAGAAGCCAGAACAGCAAGAGGGATTGCTGCTTTCACTGCGCAGCGATCCCTCTTGCTGTTCTGGCTTCTGAGATTCAGAATACAGTGGTACCTCGGGTTAAGTACTTAATTCATTCCGGAGGTCCATTCTTAACCTGAAACTGTTCTTAACCTGAAGCACCACTTTAGCTAATGGGGCCTCCAACTGCTGCCGCCGGAGCACAATTTCTGTTCTCATCCTGAAGCAAAGTTCTTAACCTGAAGCACTATTTCTGGGTTAGCGGAGTCTGTAACCTGAAGTGTATGTAACCTGAAGCATATGTAACCTGAGGTACCACTGTATTTTTTTTCTTGCTTTCTTCCTCCAAAAACTAGGTGCGCCTTGTGGTCTGGTGCGTCTTATAGAGCAAAAACTACGGTACTTGTGGGGTAATCACGCATCATGTGGGGGGATAAAAATGTACGCAGCTTCCCTTTCTTTCTTTCTTTTAAAAATGCACCCCTTTGAAAGAGGGCTCAGACCGGCATATAATTTGGATAAGAAAATTGGCTTCCAGGTGGAAAAATCAAAATTGGAAACAGAACTGTTAGAACCCAATACTAAGACTTTGTCAAGAATGTATAACTTGTTGTTGAAATGGAATACTCAGGATGAAACTGTGAAATCTGCTATGATTAAATGGGCACAAGATTTAGGACATAATATCATGTTTGCTGACTGGGAACAGTTATGGACCACAGGTATGAAATTTACGGCATGTAATGCCCTAAGAGAGAATATTATGAAAATGATATATAGGTGGTACATGACACCAGTCAAGCTTGCAAAAATCTATCATGTGCCCGATAATAAATGTTGGAAATGTAAGGAAAATGAAGGTACTTTTTTTCACCTTTGGTGGACGTGCCCAAAGATTAAGGCTTTCTGGGAAATGATATATAATGAATTGAAAAAGGTATTTAAATATACCTTCTTGAAGAAACCAGAGGCCTTCCTCCTGGGCATAGTCGGCCAATTGGTGCTAAAGAGGGACAGAACTTTCTTTATGTATGCCACAACAGCAGCAAGAATTCTTATTGCAAAGTATTGGAAGACACAAGATCTACCCACCTTGGAAGAATGGCAGATGAAGGTGATGGACTATATGGAACTGGCGGAAATGACTGGCAGAATCCGAGACCAGGGAGAAGAGTTGGTGGAAGAAGATTGGAAGAAATTCAAAGATTATCTACAGAAATATTGTAAAATTAATGAATGTTAGAATGATGTTGGATAGAAACTAAGTGGTCTTTAGCTGAAAAGTCACAAGGGAAGATGAAAAAAGGGTTTATTATGTAATATGTAAAAATCTAAAATTACAATATTTTTTGATTAATGATTAGGATACTAAAAGAGGGAGGGATTTGCTGAACAAAATAATTGAACTGGAATACAAAAAAGGGAGGTGCGAGGAGGTCGGGGAAACAAGCAAATGAAAGATAAGATATGGAAAGACTAATCTGTTTTTTAACTGTTTTTATTTTGTATTTTCATTTTTTATCTGTTTTATTTATTTATTTTTATTTTTTTGCTCATTCTTGTAATATGTTGAAATTTTAATAAATATCTTTTTTAAAAAAAGAAAGAGGGCTCAGACCACCTAGAGAACAGCGATCTCCCCCCTTGCTGGTGTTGTGGTCACACAAGCACACTCCAAAATACCAATTTTGGGTGTCGGTTCCCCAGCAGGTTGTCTGACTGAACCCACAGCTGGCCTGGTTCTGTCGGCTTCTGTCACAGCCTGACAGGAAGGCAACCCACAACCCTCTCTCTTCCTAGGGTTGCCATCCGCCCGATTTTACTCAAATAACATTTCTGTCCGGATTTCCACTTTTAGAACTATGGCAACCCGAGGCTCTCTGACGAGGTCCTGCCTTAGAACAGCGTCCATCTGTACGTGAAAAGAAACTGATAATGGAACAATTCTCAGTCTGTTTGTCCGTCTGTGCCGGGAAAACCAGCTTAGCCCTTCTCCCTGTCTCTGAGGAGCAGGTGGCTTACAGCTTGTCTCCCTGACAAAGGCAGAGATATTAATTGGGGCAATATACATCTGCCCGCTTGGCAGTCTGTTTCTGGAGGGTGAGTGGCCAGGCGGAAGTGTCGCCCCTTTTTTTCTCTCCCTGCCTCCAAGAAACGGGGTTCCTATCTCTTTTATAGCAGCTGGCAGGAATTCTTTATAGACTGGTGGAAATTCACCAGGTGAAGCTTTCCCCTCCTCTCCCAAGCAAAGCTGCACCGGCTGAATGTCTGCCTGCCGCGTCGCAAAAAAACAAAGGCAAAAGTTGCCATTCCACCTGGCTGGGGCCCTGTCTGCTTGTCTGAAAAGACAGCTCGGGAAGAATAAAATAACGCCGTTTCTGTGTCTGTCCGACTTAATCCGTGAGACAAAGCTGGTTCTAACCTTCTGTCTGCGAGGAGGGCTGCCCGTCTCTGCCTTTGCCCCGGGGTCTGGGGAGAGGTGGAGAGGCGGGCGGCTGGGCTTGGCATCCAAATCTGCTGGGAAGAGACCTTGCCTGCTACTCTAGGGATGCTTGCCCAGACAGCTGGGCATGGTTTGCAGGCAAGGAGGAAAGGAGGGAGGGAGGGAAACAGGGGCAGAGGTCTCTCTGCTCCTGCCTCCCCTCAGAGATTAGCCTGGCTGGAATCTGGCTTGCAAAGGCTGGGAGGAGGCCGCCGTCGCCTTTGTGCGGCAAGCGGCGGGGAAGAAAGCTCGGGAGCCAGCATTGTCGACTCCAGACCCGACACATGGCTTCCTCCCTCACTCTGGCGTCAACAAGATGAGAACAAGGGATCCCGGTGGTGGGCTAGAGGCCGAGAGGCCCAGGAGCCTGGCCAGCTAGGTCCCAATCCCAGCAGGGGAAATGAGAAGACCGCCCTCCCCATCCCTGGGGATCCATAGGCCTCAGATGTGAGCCCAACTCCATGGCCTCCAACATTTCTCTGACGAAACCGAGGGCATCCTGGTCTACACCAGGAAGCTTCTCCCAATCTCACAGCAAACATGGACGTCATGTGCACATCGACATCAGTCGCCTTGAGTCAAGGGCAACCTTTCCGCCTCTCCTACCTCGCAAGGTAGTTGTCAAGGGAAAATGTGTGAGAGAAGGGATCGTGTTCAACACGTTCCACAGATAAGTGGAATGAAATGGAATTTTAGCTGTAAGCTGCCTTGAGCCCCTGTCAGGGGAAATGGCAGGATATAATAATAATAATAATAATAATAATAATAATAATAATAATAGAGACTGTGAAGATGATCAAGAACATACCAGAGAGTAAATCCTATTTAACTCAGTAGGACTTCCTTCTGAGTAAAAATGCTTAGGACTTCAGTGCAAGGTTGCCTGGGCTCCACTGAATACAGTGAGACTTACTTCTGAGTAGACAGTGTAAGGCTCAATTTACATAACAACAGAATCAACACGCCCCACGTTTCCTAAGAAATTGCTAGGTGCCGAAGCATTGCAATTAAAGAATTTAAAGCGAATTGGTGACCTTTTCCTTCAAAATTATAGAAAGGGTGTTGTACACCAGCTTCACCATTTGCTTCATTTGGTGCAGGTATTTTATTTTCAGTCTAAACAGAACTCTGTTTTTCACAACTGCACACACACACCATGTTTATAATTGTTTTCCAAGATGTGGAGGGGAGGTGGAACCGGGATGGCTTCTGTAATTCCGAGACTGTCCCTGGAAAATCGGGACAGTTGGAGGGTATGCCAACAACACTGTCCTGCGAGTGCTCCAGTTGGAGAACAGCCTTTACCAAAGGTGTCATGGGCTTTGAAGACACTCGAA